TCGTGTCTACCTTCCTTCTCTCTCTCTCTCTCTCTCTCTCTTGCTCTCCTCCTCCCTCTCTTTCCTCTTTTTGTCATCTCATAGGCAATAATCGAGAAAGGGAAATATTTGGCTACGCGCGGCCATCATGGAAGAATCGCACGATAAGTGTGTTTCATAAGCGATTTCGAGTATAGGGCGACGGTTTGATAAGACATTTTTGTTGAGTGATGAGAGGTGTAAAGGTGCTTTGCGTCCTTCGTCGCTGGCAGCGCCTCTCGAACAGGCCGAGTTCGCGCGTGTCACGATCTTGAAACGAACAAGAACAACAGGAGGGGGAGAGTATACAAAGAGAGAGAGAGAGAGAGAGAGAGAGAGAGAGAGAGAGAGGGAGAGGGAGAGGGAATTGCCTACCTTTCGACCCCTTCTAAGAATTATCGTGTGCCGTGTCTTGGTGTAAAATGTGAATGGAACCTTGGATACTAACAAAAAGATCCTTTTCGCAAAGGTAAATTGTGTGCTTCTTTAAGCATTGAACATTTTGTCGATGTATATCCATTAATTCTTAGAGTTTACACTTGGACGAAATGTCTATAAATAGAGAGTGGTATGAGTTGAGGTAGTGGTATGAAAGACGGTAGTGGCAGACGGCAACCGTGTTCGAGACAACGATTCGCGTGCGCCAGACGTTTTCTTTCGCAATTAGGTCGATCTCTGGCTAATGAGACGGTACCGATTTTCATCAACCATTTTGATAGTACGATTTGACAATTTTTCAATTTGATTCATTCCAAGATAAAATTGATCTTCTTTGCCAGGGCACAAGAAGAGGATAACTTTCTATCTGTCTTTGATGATTAAATCGAATGTGGTTGTTGGTTCGATAATTCTTAAAATATGTCGGCCTACTTTAATTCGCGTAAAACGCAACATTGACGATGCGATGCGATGCGATGCGATGCGTTGCAACATACGGTCATCCCTTATGATGCAGCATTAAAAATAGACATCTTACATTGTATTTATGGAAACGAGTGACTTTGAGATCGACGAGAGCATCTGGGAAGCGTGCGATCGAAATCGTGTCTCCTGATTTTATTCATTTAAACTTCGTTTCCAGTCAACGTTGAAAATGTTGAAAAGCCATTATTGTAATAGACAATTTGATTGGTAGCAGTAGCATTGGTGGCGCCATGATGACTTTAAACTAGCCATTGGAGAGCTTTAATTTTGACTGGTAAGTTAAGTGTGATAGGCACAAAGTGGTTGACAAATAAAGCCATTCGAGTGCTTCTTCGGAGTTTCGGTATACACCCCCTCCTATATATCCTATATATATCCAGGATATATAGGGGGTGTAAACGGTGGCTCGAGTGTACTTTTGGTTCTACCATAGCGCGAAGAAGAGGGAAAAAGGGAAAAAGAGGTGTGCTGGTCTATTCCGACGATAGATAGGGTCGGTCTAGCATTTTGGCGACACTCCAACCTTTGTATAAATACCACGAGGAGTCACACACAATTTTACTTCTTCTTCTTCTTCTTCTTCTTCTTAACTTCATCCTTTTTCTCTCTTCTATTGCCCTCGATGCCAATTGTATGCGTTCTATGCATTCTATGCGTTCTATTATCTTTCTTCTCGGACCGTGGCGCGTTTTGTCACGATTTTCTCGACAGCGCAAGACGTCTTCACGGACTGTCAACTTTTCCCTCCTTCCTTCTATACTAACTCATCCTGTCATTTTAAAGTAGCTTCGAATTTCGGATTTTAAAAGAAAATTCTAAGATGAAAGGTAACTTTCGCTGGCGCGCGCATCGAATGCGAACCATAGACTGTAAAACGTCCGGAAGTATACTCTTGGGAAATTTAAGAGAGAAGTACGGAGTTATCGCGAGGACATGCGCTGCCACGTCCACTATATTATCACCTTCTTTGAGTTATTACGTACATATTTATCCGTGCCTTTACCTTTACCTTTACCTTTACCTTTACCTTTACCTTTACTACGTATTTTGCGTGAAAGGTATATCAGCAAAACAACTCGACAACTTCAAACATTCCCAAAATAAATGACTCTATTATTTCGTCTAATTTATCAGTCGGTTAGAATATGCCACTTGTAAATGAGTTTTTGTTTTTTCGTTTATCGAAATAATAATTTAATGTCTCACCGTTGTGAGATTGTTGTCGTTTGAAAATCTACTATGGAAAAGGAAATAAAGACTAGGAGAAAGATTTAGTAGCGGAAAGCGGAATGGGCGATGGGAAAGCGGATGATCGATGACTCTATGCATGCGTTATTAGCATCACAATGAGCTTTCGTCTGGTATCATCGTCGCGTGGATGGTTCTCTCGAGTCCGCTTTCGTCTCAGTCAGTAGGTATATTAACGTCCCGTTGTTCTATATGTAAGCGACCATCCACGTCTTTCGGTCCGTTTAACGTCTACCCTTCCGGATACCGTTTATGCACCGACATCGCTGTTTACGATCTGCTCTCTGGAGGAAAATTAGTCCCGAGATCCCGTTCCTGCGAATCTTCGATAAATGCCAAGATTAATAATAAATGCATTAGTTGCACAAATGAAAGTCGATAAGTGTACGCATGTGTACTACGCGAAAAGGTAAACGAGAGGTAAACGAATCTTAGTTGCAATCAATGCGATCTTTTTTCTTGTTCATTTTAATAGATAGGGCAAAATTATATTCGGTTTACTTATCAAATCGTTCGTAAAGAGTTCTCCTTCTCTCGGAGCTTTTACGCGTGGTCATGCCTACGTGCTGAGTCACTGACAAAACATAAATATTGAAGAGAACCGGAGGAATAACATAAGCGTTTGTTGCTCCAAGAGCTACGAGCGATCGATTAGCAAGTTCGTAAATTATGCAGTCTATCGGCGGACAGCAGAGCGTATCTATAGCGAAAATCGCTCAACTTCCGTTTCCTCGTCTAGTAAACCTCTTCGAAAATGTTTTCCGAGGCATGCTATATTCCAGGGATTTTCGCAAAAAATGACTCGCTCGCCATCCGTTCGCCATCCGTTCGCCATCCGTTCGCCATCCGTTCGCCATCCGTTTCCCCGTACTCTTTCCTCTCGTAGTCTCTTCTTGCGAATTATTCAAATACTGGGTTTTACATTCTCGACAGACGTACGTGAGCACCACTGCGCGAGCATCACTGCGCGAGCATCACTGCGCGAGCATCACTGCGCGAGCCCTGTGCCCTTTTTTACCTCTCTTCTTTTTTCCAACTCGTTTACTTCCGAGAACCTTTGGCGACATTTTTTTTCTTTCCATGTCTTTCGTGTCCTATAACTGCATCCTCATCAACATAACTTTTTAATTGAACTCACGTGTATAATATTTCTCATATCTCTTCTGATGAGAAATTTATTATAGTGTAATACTACTAACTAACAATTAAGGATAGATATAGATAATAATTCCATCAGATTTCTGTCGTACACCATTTTTAACGACTCTGGTTCGTGTCAAAAATTCAACTGTAAATTATCGTCGAGCTGCTGCGTTTATTCGGAGCCTTGCCGACAATTGGTTGCCCATCAATCATCCGGCATAGTTTCATTTGTAGGACGCGTCGCCTTCGCTTTCTACGTCTCTCTCTTTTTCTATCTTTTTCCGTTTCTATAATCGAAAACGTGACGACACTCCTTTCGTCCACGTTATTTTCTAAATCGAAGCGAGAAAGATGCGGTTATATAATATCACCGTCGAAAGTCTAACCATTCCTTACGGTTCTTATTACTTTCAAACAACAGAGCTATGTACAATGAAATGGGTTTAATGTTTTATTACGTCTTAGAAGAATGCAAAATATAATAATTGAACGGCTAAATAAAAGCACAAAACGATTATTTCGCCTTCTAAATTGTAATACTAAGCATTTATAGGTATAGAACGAGTTGGGCACCCTCGCAAATTCCTCGACGACAAGTATCTGGCGACGCGATTTCGCGCGAGTAGCATCGCATTCTCGTAAATTACCTGAAACCCGTAATTTAGTACCCGTAGAACGCCTTTCTCGTTTCACTTTAGTTTTTGACTTTGACCGTCTTACTACTTCATCAACGACTTTATACTTTGGAAATGTCACTTTCAACCGTCGCGTATCAATCAATCCGTGTTAAAATTGTCGAGTTTCTATGAACGTCAGTTATTTCTATTTGTAGAAATTGACTCAAACGATGCTAGAATAACTTTATTTATTTTTAAACATTTATGTATCGTCCATTTGCGAAAAAAAACGTGGATACGGTGACTATATTGGACTTTGAACTCTTAGCTACTTTCCCTCTTTCGTATTTGTTATTGTGTTGAAAAAAAAAAATCGGTCCATCATTTCCATGATACCCATTAACCTTGTTCAAAATTTGACACGGAAATGTATTCGTGCATAACCGATTTGGCAGACATTCAAGATGGACGCTCCACCTAGCCGAGAGAGAAATCCGTTGCTGGTTTACGATCAAAGTTCAGAACGACATTTGCACGTTGGCTCTTTCGCCTTGATTCTATGGTTCTTCGCCACCAACACTGCAACCACCACCACCACCACCACCACCACCACCACCACCGCAACCACCACCAAAAGACATCGTCTTTCTACCATTTCTTCTTTCGCTTCTTCTTTTCCTCTTGTCTCGGCGTCCTTTCGAAAACACGCTTGAGTGATTCACAGGACCTACCACGATCGTCGTTTCCGACGACGCGGCGCTCGGCGCGCGGCGAACTGAAAATTTCCATCTCGATAATTTCTGACCGACTCTCGAATACCATTTCAACATGAATATCAAATACATTATTTCTCTGACAACAGAAGGAAACAAAGCGTACAACTTTCCAAATATAAAACAAATTATCAATGACTAGAAGACAAGTGCAATCACATGCAAAGACTATATTTTTAGACGCAACGCCGTTTCATTATATCATATAATTGTAACATCATAATAAGAGAATCGATCCTTGTACCATCAGCCTGACACGTAATCGTTTTTGTTGCAGAGTGACAGCGTGCTAGTGGATACAGATCCAACTCGAGTTAGCAACATGACGGCCATTAACTCGGTAAGTGCAGTCAATGACGGTTGTTAGTGAAACTGGTCCATTCATTCGTGTCCAAATTTGATTTTGTTTCTTTTTCAACAAAGTCCGTTCTGTCTTTTAAGGAGATTAGCTCTTTCAGAAATAAGTATTATTGAAAAATACACGTAGGAAATAATTTGGTTGCGTGGAAGGGTGACGGTAATGCGTTTGCTTCTTTTCGAAGCTCGAGGCCATGAAATATGTAGATAATTGCTCGCCGTAAAAGGTGCTTATGAGAGCAGGACCTTGCCTTTCTTAATAATCCCATAATACCCAGCAGCCCAACTTTTCCTTTACCGTATCTTACAAACGCGCGAACGACTAAATACATCAAAGCAAACAACCTTTTTCTTTGTTTTTTTTTTCTTTTTTTTATTGTTTCGCAGAATTTGATTAAGGACTTTACGAGAGAGCAATAGTAAAATGTAGTAATAGTAAAATGCGAGCGCACGTAGAAGGAAGAATGATTACGTGAACTATATCATTGTAACAAATAAAACATATTAATATCTTGTACAACGAATTTCAATAGGTTTTCCTTCGAACTTGTCGTCGAGACAACGTTGTCGAGAAACGCTTTCTCCTGGGAGTAAAACATAGAAGCGACACTGTAAATTCATGATTTTCACGCCTTCGAATTGCGACTTTTCCCGCGGGATGATTCAGGTATTTGCGTCTGTTCAGACGTGCTGTACGAGGGAGACTTTTTCTCTTTCCCCCCAATTTTTTACTCCTTTTTTGTTTCCACTACCACAATACTCCCCTTCACGCTCGGATTGCTCCTAAAGAAATTACTACAATTTCTTATGTATTTCACTTCTTTGACATTCTTCAGAGAGATAGCAATATTAGAGGAAAAACCGAAAAGATTGAATATTTTTCTTGCTGGAAACATCACAATCTGCTAAAGTGCCGTTACATTTTACATTAGTTTTATGTAATATCGATTATTAATTAAAAAGTGCAATATTTAAAAACTTATTTGTTGAAGAAAAAATATCTATCCATCCAAATTTCTATCCATTTTGAACGATTCACTTCGAGGAATAATGACTCACCGACGGAAGAGTGGTCACGAATAGTAAACGACGACGAAGTGGAAACAAGTTTAAATAAAGATCATGCATGTGGGTCAGCCAGCGTCGCGTGCGTGCGTGCGTGCGTGCGTGAGTGAGTGCGTGCGTGCGTGCGTGCGTGAGTGAGTGCGTGCGTGCGTGCGTGCGTGAGTGAGTGCGTGCGTGCGTGCGTGCGTGTTACGCAAGTTGCGAGAGGAAAAGAGAAAATCAGAGAAACCAACACTCACGACTATCCTCAGCATTCCCAAATTTTCTTCTATCTTTCTGAGTTTTGTATCTGAAGTTTTGATTAGAAAGAAAAGATTGATGTAACATCAATTACATTCTTTTATTGTATATTATTACATTACTATATTTATTCATCTTTGAGCGCTAGAAAAGCTAGAACCGAATGAAATGAATAAATTCGATTGAACTGCGTGGACGTCTATACGCTTGTTAAATATTTATTCGCGAGCATGCGTTGACTCTGAGAATTTTCACTATCAACTAAACCGTTTGAGCTTTTTCTCTTTTCTCTCCCTTCTTTCCTAACGTTGAATTTTATGACGGTTTGAGTCAGCGTCAAGGGTGGAGCTTAGTAGCTCGTAAAAGTTGTACTTTCGATGAGCTGCTTTTTAAAGAAAAACTCAAATATAATGGATGTGTAAATTATAGGTTTGGTACGTTGGGAACAGCAATACAATAAACGAGTCTTCTAAATCCAAATCGTAGGTGGCTTGTTTCAAAAGGAAGAGAGAGAGAGAGAGAAAGCACGAGAGATAAATAGATTGGTATCGATTCTCTCGATATCAGACTCGTGGTACCATGGGACGAGCACAGGTGTGATAAGCTGTAAGCATTCGAAAGTTCGACTCTACTTCGATATTAAGGTACGTTGAATCTGGACCACGCTCTTACGAGATGAACTTTTAAATGAAATTGAACGAAGATGTATTACATTTTCAAGTCGAGGGAAAATAATTCTTGCCAATAAAAAAACAAAAACAATAGATTTGTTCTTCTATGTCGTGACTAGATGACTATGGTGATTAATACCGAGAATACTCGCAAAGATCGGTAGAAAAATAAACATCGTGTAGGAGCACGTTGTGTTCTAACGTACATATATCTAACGTGCATACGTAACATGCATACGCAAATACATACTTATATATGTATGTATGCTACATACTGTTGCTATCGAGTTCGGTAATGCTTTAAGAATGCTCAGGGGGAGACTGTCTCTAGACGTTTACAATTTATTTACGTATAACAATTGGCGATTGTCTTCAGTAAAATTTCGATTAAAAAAAGGTTGCATCCGAAAAGACGAATTTTATATTTATAGTAATTAATAGTTTTAATAAAATGTTGTTTATGTTTTGTAACTTGGAAATAATTCATATTTGCTTGTAATGCAAAGCTTCCAAATTCTAATATTAATTTCATTGAAGAGAAGAATATATCGCAAAAGTATTGGCATCTACGTAAGATAACAAAGATAATAAAAATATAAGATTAAGAATAAATCATACGACGCGATAGGTTGTATTGAAAAGCGAGATCTCCCATCTTCGGTAAATCATTTTTGCTAGAGTATGGCAAAGTCTTGGAAAGTGGGAGACCATTTCGTTCTTACTTTGTTTTCTTAGAAAGAGAAAGAATATAAGTCGATTCTCAAAGTATAAGCAAAGTCTTCGAGACCGTTTGTCCGGAAAATAAGCTTGGCCAAAACAACCGTCCCCACACGATTTCCACTTTCTTTCCACTATCGTTTGCCACAACTAACTGTTTGCCACGTAACATTTTCCTTCTTTCCTAACTTTCTCGTCTTCTACTATACACTTCTTGAGAATCGTCTTTCCTCTGAGTCAATTTCTTACGATCATAGAACGACTTGTTTTCTTTCTAAAGGGTACTTGTCAACAGCATACGAACGACTCACTTCGTTGTTTCTGAATCCATTTACGATTCGATATATAAGCGTCATTGTTTCTTTCCTATTCAACTATAGTTTTCTCGATGACATATGCTTTCTTTCTATAAAAATATCATTGGCTGTTCTTTTTTATATGATATTCTATGTAATACATAATGAAGCCGTTACTTAACTTACTTCTTAAGGAGCTTAAGAATTGAATGAAAATACATACTACCCTAGTAGGATGTTTGTCAGGATCCAGTAAACGGAAGACAAATGCGTAACAACTTATTTTTCTTGCAGACTCGGACTTGAAGAAAAGAGCATGCAACGTCATTCGTGGAAGCTCCATTAGTAGGTCGAGTTTGATGTTAGCGCATTCCTTCTCTCACATGTGTACCCGTGCGCGCATTCTACCCTTTCGTTTGGCATTTTCGCGATCGTCCAACACGATAAGCCACTTTCCAGTCGCTACGCCACAGCTTGCACCGCATTAGCACGCGTTTCAAATTCCTCGGAACAATGGCTTATCGTGGTAGAGACACGTGTCACCACCTACGTTCTTCGAAAACGATTCACGCACTTGTCTTATCTGCCTTTATATAGTCTTATGGAATGTGTCGATTTAATAGCTAATTAAAGTGCTAACGTACACAGAATACATAGAAAATAGAGAAAAGGAAAAGGAAAAGGAAAAGGAAAAGGAAAAGGAAAAGAAGAAAGGGCGGTTTCTTAGATAGCGTATTATTGCGCTTTTTCGTGTTGTTACTTCCGTTCTTTTCTATTTCCATGTATATATTTGCATATCTACGTCAAGTTACATATGAACTACATTTGACTTGTCACGAGCAGCTACGCTTGATGCACCCGTACGTTGATAGCTACATTACGAGAAAAGGAATATAGGTAAAATAACACGGACAAGTTACGCATCTTGGCGTATCGCGTATTTCGTCTAGCATATGTCGGCTAGCATATTTCATTCCTTTCTTTTTCCTCATTTTCACAGTATTTTTATTTTCTCTTCAGCAAAATTTGCATTTTGCATTTTTCATGCCTTATAATTTTCCGTCCTCGTCCACGCGTCTATCTGCACAAATGCTTGCGAGCAATGTAATCTTTCTCTCTTTGCATTTCACCAAATTTGAATTTAAATTTTCTATAATGAAATTGCAAAGCCCTTACTTGTTTCTTTTTCTTTTTTTCTTCTTCGTGCTTCGAAAGCAATTTTAATTTGTAATCAGTGATTTGCATCGCGACAGTAACCCTCCGAGCTTACTCGACTCACCACTCGACTCACCCCGTTATATTAGAAGACCAACGACGAGAATCGTCATTCCAATTAGATATGTTTGAAATTTATTTATCTAGGTGATTGAGAACAAGAGGGAAAAGAAATCATGGAAGTGTCGTTAGAACTTGTATATGACGTATCGTGTTCTCGTAGACTCGCATTTATTCACGTCTTAACTTTAGATCGATGCTGGTCTTTATAAAAGATTAATCGAGTTTCTATGGAGTAAGTTTTCGTAAAAGTAATTGATCGTCGAGAAAAGTATCGTTTTAAAATGCTTTTAAATTACATCAAATGGTCAATGAATTTCAACTCTTATTTATAGATATTTCATGAAGAATTAATATTCAACAAATTTCTCAATTCATTTTGCTAACTTTTTATATAGATAATTAGTTGTAATAAATTATTTACTTGTATTTTAGACGATTATGTTTATCGTTTGATTTTATTGGTGCAATTAAGAAAATTAGAGAATACATACCATCGGTCGGTTTTGATTTGTTTTCTCTCGAGCGCGTCCGCTGATCACGGATGTGAAACAATACAGCAGAAGATTTACCTTGGAGCTTTATCCATTAAATAAGGATCTTTAAGCGTTTCGTCGACGACGACGACGACGACGACGACGACGACGACGACGACGGTTTTGGCATCGTCGGGAAATTGTCTCGGGCGCTTCGTAGGCTGGCGCTCGTAATAATAATAT